GTCAGACTTATCAAAAATATATTTAATCAAGCGCTTTAGACTAACACAGTAAGAATATTTGAATTTTAATTCAATGCTTGGAATAGTTGACGTCATCTCAAGGAAATCCTTCTTGATACAGTCATGCTAGTAGACCCCATCAGCTATGTTTATTGATTTTGCATGCATGTATAAAACACTAAATGTTGTTAAAATTGTTTTGCACTGATCCAGAGGAAAACGTATTCAACATCTTTTCCGATTTCTTATGAGGAAAATGTTTTGCAAGGGTTTGAACAACCGTACTGTGTGACCTTGAAGGCAACCGGACGATTTCTTTCCATATTATGCCAGCATCCGTACATTGAGCAAACCTCAACATTGACAATTTCATTGTCAATATTTTCTTAACGAATATGCGCATTTCAATTGTTCCCTCATTTTCTGTTACCAAGGTAATTTATTATTTTTAGAGTCAAGAGCGTATACACGAATATCAAATGTAAAGCTTCTAAATTGTAGTCTAAAGCCGTTAATTTATTTTTCTGAAATCTCATGTTTTGATAAAATAGAGGTTTTGCAATAGACAAAATACACACAATCAAAAACATACCGGTAAAATCTGATTTGAGATTTGCTAAAAAAAAACGTTTTCGCTGCTCGATCTTAGTTGAACTACTATACCTATATTTTAGTCTAAATCCGCGTTTTGTCGTGAAAAACTCGCTTTCAAGCGGAAAGTATACACTTGAGTGTACACTGTGATGTTATTATCAAAAACGTTAAATATAAAGTTATCTTTTGTGTCGCACGCACACCAAAAAGTATTTGACTTAGAGTCATGAAACTTCACGGGAATGTTGCTCTGCATGTGTAGTTTTGCACCTGTGCATTTTCGTGTGGATTTTCTTAGATTTTGTACAGTTATATTGTCTCACTTCAGTGTTGTTATATTTTCTGGTCCTTCGGGATCATTGATGCCAACACTATAAAGTGTTGAGAATTGAGTACCGCTCAAGCCTGTGCTAGGGGGCGTGAGGGATGTTGCACTAATTCATTATCCCTCATGTACATACTCAATCAAACCGAGTCTGCAATTCTTATGTTATTTTGTGGTGATTAATGCTTCCGAGGGATCACTTTGTTTCCAGAATTTTGTACTTCACAACAGCAGGTGTCAAGTGCCGTGTGGCAGCCGAAAAATGTTGCCCCGTACTTCACTTCAGTGTTGTTTTATTTTCTGGTCCTTCGGGATCATTGATGCCAACCCTATGAGTGTTGAGAATTGAGTACCGCTCAAGCCGGTGCTAGGGGGCGTGAGGGATGTTGAACTAATTCATTATCCCTCATGTACAGACTCAATCAAACCGAGTTTGCAATTATTATGTTATTTTGTGGTGATTAATGCTTCCGAGGGATCACTTTGTTTCCAGAATTTTTTACAACTTTAAACTTGTATCGCACGAAGCTAAAACAATATTTGATCTTAAGTCATGAAATTTAAAAGGTATGTTGTTCAGCATGTGAAGTTGTGCACATGGATATTTGTTTGTGGATTTATATAGTTTTTGCCCTAGACGTAGTACAAATTTGCAGTTTTGAACTTGTGTCGCATGTAGCTCAAAAGTATTTAACCTAGAGTCATGAGACCTAACATGAATGTCTCTAAGCATATGTAGTTGTGCACCTGGGTATTTTGTGTGGATTTATTGAGTACTTGTAGAGTTATAGCCCTTGACTTAGTAAATATTTGCAATTTTCAACTTGTGTCGCACATAGCTCAAAAAGAATTTGACTTAGAGTTATGAAACATTACAGGTATGTTCATCAGCATGTAAAGTTGTGCACCTGAGGTTCCCCTTGTGGAATTTATCTGCTTTGTCAGGGTTATTATTTGCAAAGTTCAATTTGTGTTGTGCGTAGCTCAAAAAGTATTTGGCCTAGAGTCATGAAACTTAACAAGTAACTTAGCAGAAAAGTTGGTCAGAATGTGTATTTGTGAACCTTGGGATACGCTAGTGGATTTACCCAGTATTTCTAGAGTTATTGCCCTAGTAAGAAACGTTTCATTATGTTTTGTTATTTTGACCTTGAGTGCTTGAGTTAAATCAACAATTTTACAGGAATAAGTATCAATGTGAAGCTATGCACCTGGGATTTGGCAAGCGGATTATTTTCCAGTTTTGCTAGAGTTATTGCCCTTTACTTAGTATAAGTTTGCTTTATTTATCTTGTTTATGCATAGCTTAAATTATTTGACCTGTAAGCCTGAAAGTTAACAAGCATGTTGGTCAGCACATGTACTTATGCACCATGGGGATTTATTCAGTATTTGTAAAGTTCTTACCCCTAATGAGATCAAAGTTTTCAACGTGTTGCACATGTAGCCAAACAGAAAATGACTTAGAGTCATAAGATTTACAAAACAGTGGAGTGTGGAGGCTCCTGTGTCTAATGGACACATTTCTAGTTTTGCCAGAAATCACAGATTTTTTTTAACAGAAAATGTATTTTATAAAATATTGTATTTCAACTTTTAACTTGCTTTTCAACTTGGTCCAGGCGCACACTACATGGTCATTATGTCTTATGCATTTACACACATTCATTTTTAGAATTAATCTAAACATTACACGAGTGCTGACCATTTCATGTTATTGATACATGTCCTTCGAAGTCATCGTGTTATATTGACCTACAACTATATTTATTTTTCTATTGCGCAACAAATTTATACATAATTATATGAAAATATATCAAAAAAGTACAATTAATAAAAAAATTAATTGATCGGGCGAAAGCAAAGAAATACGGATGGAAAGATAGGCGTAACACATATATTTGTGGTCTACTGGATTCTTTTCTGTGATGTTTAAGTTGCTTTTACCAAAAAAGTTTCTATTTAAATAGATGGAATTTATGGTTCAATTCAGGGTTATGGGTAAAATGTGGTTCATTACCCACTTGATGTTGATCCTGAAATACGAATGAAAACTACAGATATCAATCCATTGTAGTAAAGCTTTTTTGTAAATGTATTATGCTGTACAAACTCTTGTTTGATTATGTATTTCTTCAATAACATTAAATTCAGAAGGTGATTTGTTTTTAAATTAAACTGTCATTTACAGGAAGCATTGTTCTAAGAGACTTGAAAAAAAATCTTGATAAAGTGTGATCCGTCGGATGCAAACATTAAAATTACATGACTATTGCAGACTGGTGTTGATTGAGTGTGTACATACGATAAATTAAAAAGTGCAACATCCTTTAAGCCCCTAGAACAAGCTTGAGTGGTTCTCCATTTTCAACACTTAAAAATCACGGAACCAATGATCCCAGAGGACCAGAAAATATAACAACACTGGGGGAACCTTTAAATCAGTATGATATAGATTTTTGGCTTAAAACATTGTTGTTTAGGTGAATGAATAAAATAATATAATAGGATAATTGAATTATACCCTTACATCAAGATTAACGATTACACAAAATGTAAGATGTTCATTATGATTTCATATTTTTAATTTTGTTCGATTGCGTTAAACAATCATTACATCATCTTCGAATTGACTGTATGACATTATAAGTATTGCTTATCCATATCTTTATATCTATTCTAATATACTAAAACGTTTATCATTTGTTGAACACTTATCGGCGATAGACGAAAATCAGATAGATATAATTCTATAGACAAAATGAAGAATATTTGAAAAGAAGTAAGTAAACAGCAAAAACAAGTACTTTCCTTCTGTGTTTTGTTTTTGCTCTCTGTTTAGTTTTCAATTACCTTAACTCCTTAAAAGCTAAAAATATCGCAGTGTCTGGCCACGCATATTTGTAACTATTCATCAAAACAATGTACTTTCCATTTCGCAACGACATAAGTGTTGGCATAGAACAGGGTGTGCCTTTCATTTTTGCATACAAATGAATTTATCATTAAAAATTAGGAAATGCAAATATTTTCGCAAATTAAAAAGATGTGAAGACATAGAAAAACAAAAAAAATTAATTTTTAGAAGTCCATAAATGACTTCATATGATTTGAACTATTTTTGTATCATCTTTTTTGATGTAATATGACAGTAAGTAACTACACATGTACAAAGAATGCATCCTAAAACATGGCTTGTCCAAAGCAAATAATTGCATGAAACACATCACGAACAGTAATCGCGTACCGTATTTTATTTTAAATAGGCATTATCATAATTTATTATTACTATTACTATGATTTTAGTTCTCATTTTATCCTCTTTATTGTCCCCTTTATTGTTGTTGCTGCAATTTAAATAATAAATTCATTTACTCTATAAACTTTAGTATTGTTTTTTATGCATAGACAACATTCAATACCATTATATATTGTTAGAATTATATCATAAAGTGAAGAAAATTCAGTTCAAGATTTAAAAAGTATTTAACAACTTTGACAATCCAGGAAAAAACGTAAACATATTTGAAATGAATGATTGTCAAACATAGCATTATGTTCTTACTACGATAGTAACATGTAACATATCTGTTTACAGTATTATACTATGCTTTTCTAAGGTGATGTTCTGCGTGCTTTGGTACAATGTCAATGTAAATGAGCAAAAATTGACCCAAGATATTGGCAGGAGTATTGATTCTTATGTCCTGTAATCCAGTTAAAATCCAAGTCATGGCAAGCTTTTATTTGGTGCATTTGCATCTTTTTGTTATAAATTTTATTTCCTTTCAAACATTTTGTCTAACCTTAGTTCTTATGGTATGAAGTAGAATCTGAATTAATACAAGTAATATGCAATCTTAAGTTACAAATTAAAAATAATTCTGAATCGAGACATACACTTTCTCTTTATTTGCTTTATATATAAAATATGATCTATACATAAAATATATAGAGACGTTTCTAGGAAATAAGGGACATAGACCGTCATTTTAGTTACAGTGTTGATTAAATAGCTTAAAACTTTGCAAACATTTCGCCTATCGCCTATTAAAAATATCTGAATATTGTTATAGATTACCTGCATTCTAGTCGATCTGACCTGCAAACTGCATTGTACCCATGCCAATACGTCCATTTAGCAAGTTCCCACAAAGGCTCGAAGAAATAAAATGAATCAGATCTGTGTCCAAAAATCATGCCGGTCAAAGAACTTCCACTTCTCATATAACTGCTCAATAATATGTCGTACGGTTTTACTATAAATAGAAATATATTTTAAAATGTTGCTAAATCTTATGAATATTCAAAATGCTAATTGTTTTTAATAAATTTAATTTAAAAGCAATATACACCCATTTTGTTATTCGGTGGATACACACAATTTAATGAACTGTTAACAGGTTTTTGCATAAATGAATTTCATAAACAATTTCAAGTTTCTTTATTTAAACAAAACTATTTTCAAATTAAAAGAATAACTACTCACGTTTAATCTCTCGCTTCAATGGATTTGCTTCTTTAGGCCTGGTCTTGAAAATACCTTCTAAAATATAAGCACATAGTAATAAGAGAATGTGAATAAAATAATCCGGAAATGTGTTCGCGATAAAATTACAAATTTTACGATTATTATAATAAAAACGTATATTTCTAGATATTTGAAACAGACATTGTGAAGCTATTGATAATAATGTATAATACTGACAACAACTGTTATCTATACATTTATGAATACTTTGAAATGTTATACTGTTTCGACTTTCATTTTGTAAGAACATTTGTATCAAATCACTTTGTCTAACTTATAACCCTACTATTTGATAAAACTGTTTTCATATGACTAAAATGTAGCTGCAATCGCATTGGTCCAAATGGTATGCCACAAGAACATACTATAACATCATAATCACAGGCTGCATTGGATTTGCCCAGTCTAGATCGAGACTCGTATCCAATGACCATATATCGTAGAATAAAACAAAATTGTTGCCTTTTGTTCTTAGCGGCATATTTCTAGATTAATATACCATTACTAAAACTATAATAGTTAAAGGTTACACCACAATGATGATAATAAACTTAATTTTATACGGCAGCGTTCTCCAGTTGTTGCACGTTTAATAAGTTCCTCTTTTTCCCGTGGTTGAACGATACAGACAAAAGTTGTACATGTGTTAGGTTGTACTTTTTGTATTTTCTTTTTCTAAAAGCCCAATAATATAATAAAACAATTATTGTCTAGTGTGTCATTCAATATAAAGTGTGATTCTCAGACAGAAAGTCATATTTTTATAATATTATGTCATTTACCGATGAAAATCACATTTATTCAATGCCACACTAGCCACTTATTTTATAATAGACTTATTTTGGGGTGTAAATCAATACTGAAAATGAAATATTACAACATATGTAGTGAAAGCTAATACATGTTACAGTGTTGTAATTTAGTAAGCCAGACTAGCCGTGGTATGCAAACTACTGATGCGTTTATTATGATACAATTATTGACTAGTAAGCCATTTAATATGATTTGATATTCACCGGCATATGACAAATTGACTGAGGCGATAGCCGATGTCAATATAATTTTCTTCCAGTGAATATCACATCATATTCAATGGCTCACTAGTCAATAATTGTTTTATTATATGAATAGCAAATGATTTTTAAAATGGTAAAGCTTCATACACAATGTTGCCTGTTTTCATTGAAGCACGTGAAAAAAGCGTACTGTGAACAAGATGACGCAAGGCGTTTAGGGGCTACGCGAACGCTACGCAGACAAAAGTAATTCGAGTTTATACACATGACTGCGGTGCAACTTGAACTATTATTGTAAAGTAATGATATTTTAATAGAGAAATATGACATTAAGAACAAAACACACCAATTATTGTTTTATTCGCACGTGTAATTAACATTGTATGATTTATGGTCATTGAATATGACTCTTGATCTATTTTTAGATTGGGAATTCCCATTCAGCCAGTGAATATGATAGTTCACACAGTGAGTATGATTTTATAAAAAAATCTATCAACTACTTTTCAGACATATAAGATTGTAGCTATTTATAGATCATATAATAAAAAAACAAAAAATTAATGATACATACGTGATGCATACATCATGCATATGCATATAATTGCTGAAAAAAAAGATTTAATGCACATTAACATTTTACTTGTTATCTAACACGTGTATAAAGTGAGCATAAGTAAGAATGTATAAACAAAATTGAGACGACTGGAAACGTACTTATGCATTTATCTTATGTCGATTTACTTAAACAGCTTTAGCAGAAGTTTTGTATTTCTAAGACTTATTCTTAATTTTTATGCAATTAATCTGAAACTGATAATCATTCGAGAAAAACGTATTGAAAAATAAATCAAATAATGAAATCTAAATAAGTGCAAAGCTCATGTTAGGAGATATATTAGAAATAGATGAAAGCAATCGTGTTAATGTTTATTTAAAGTTTAATAAATTCGACATACTTGTGTTTATAGCCAATAAAACCCGGAAAATAATGCTTTTATTGAAAACACGTTTCTGAAGTTGTGAGCAATTCATCTTTTTTGATTCTGCACAGATAATGCTTTCTCAAGAAGTATATATTCTGTATTTTAAAATACGTATGTTTATAACATAACTTAAAGAACAGATAATAACATTAATTTCATTTTTACAACACAAATTTTGTACATATAAATGATTTCAGGCGATGTGATATTACTTACTGAAATGTTATAAACGATGAAAATATATAGCCATGAACATATACATATACAAAGGTCAATTAGCATCAGCGCAGTTTCAAGTTTTTTAACCAAAGGCATACACTTTCGCTTAAGTAACCTATTTGTAATGAATGAGACTACACTCTGAGCTTTAAGATAGCTTGTCAATTAGATGATTTCATAGATAAAATATTATATTTTAGGACTGAAATTCTAAACACAATGAAATATGCTGCCTTTATGTTATTTAAACGGTTCTCCTTAACAAAAAATGAGCATTATCAAAAACATTTTTAAACATTTTTATCATCAGCATTGTAAACACAAAGTAACAGAACATATTTTATACAGGTTTTAAGATAAGTTCATATTCATCTAAGTCAAACCTTAAGAAACCTTTATGTATTTTGAGATATTGAGATTTATAAAGGATGGACATTTTTACATTGTGTATTTCTTTACAGAATTTTATTGTCATTTATTTCGGTTTGTTTAACCCACAAGATCCATTTCTTAAAATGGCAGCACTCCACAGTACATATCAAGTTTCTGCCGTCAATGCCCGACAAGCGTTATGTCTGATAATTTTGATCGGAAACTACAAAAAACTTGAAGAGAAAACACGTTTTGTTGAGAATATATTTCTCATAACATTGCAAATTTAAAATGAAATTATCTTATGTGCAATTAACAGTTGAAAAAAATGTTATTTTCAATCCGTTGAAGTAAAAAATCTTCTGTGTTCTGATACCGAAAACAATACATTTCGTCCCTCTGGCAAAATATACGAGTCACAAAAACACTGTCCCTGCTTTAGCTACTCCCTTTACATAAAAAAAATCAGAAAAACCCATAAAAACAGGTGTTAGACTTGTAGATTTAATTTGCTACTTTTGAAAATACCCCCTGTAAAATGACTTGTTTTTTTCCAAATCATGCTGTTTAACTTCAATATTTACACAAAAAATGGCGTCCGTGACATCTTTTATCAACAGCAAGTGATTTCTGGCCATGTTTTCGAATTTGCCAGTGATCATATTATATGTCAAAAAACAAACTTCATGCCAACAATGCACATAGACATCATTTAAATCCAAAATAGTAACTATATCCAAGAAATCCTTTGAAGCTGTGGCTTCAATAACTGTAGTGTGCAACCTATGAGTAAGACTGTAAAAAACGTTTGAGTACCTGTTCCGATATATACTCAACATGGCGCTTGAATGACAACATGCTGAAATATCACCTTTTCACCGAACGGAATGAGATTTAAAACATCTATTTTATCTGTTTTCACCGATTTATATAGGATAATGAATGGAAAATTAAAATATCGGCGAAAAAAAGAAACGATATTTTTCTACTGTGTGATCATGATTTCCGCTAGCGTCTAAAGATGCTCTTCTTCAACACTGTAGTTAAATTCCTAGTTATGCACTGATCCAATTAATGTGTCGAAGAGGTTACAAACAAATTTTTTCTCTCATGAAACAAAAATAATGTACCTTATGAATTATTATTCATTGAATTCAAAGTTTTAATCATAATTTTAAATACTATAAACTTACAGTTCCGTAAAAGCCATTAAAATTGTGAGTTATAAATTTTTCATAGAAAAACCTGTAAAAAGTAAAAATCTATAAGTCACCTGAACTTCAAAATATAACTTTAATATTAGACGTATTTTTACAATAATAAGAAAGAAACTTTATGCTGCATTTAATTTCATCAAAAGAATTTCAGAGAATTACAATACTATCTGCAAACACAGGTAGAATAAGAAAAATAATTAAAAAGTTATACTCGGCTCAATCCATCTGGTATATAATATACATAACGGGTTTATTATTATTTTGTGATCCTACTGCCCTTTGTTAACCACAAAACTTTAAAGGACGCATATGTTCATTCTTTGAACGCATTTTTGTTGTTGTTTTCTACCCGTTAAGCATCGTATTTCATTTTAATTTAAGTATATAACTGCATCCTTATCTTTTTATCATAAAAAATTTCACATTTTAAAATTAAAAAAAAACAACTTTTTATTTACTTCTCATAAATTACGCGATCGTATGGGTTAATATATTGGTAGTATTTACTTTGTATTTCCATGTACACAGGGGGTAGATAATTTGGCCAAGTTCGCTTATTTTCAAGTGTGCAAGCAAAACCATTTTAGCAAAAATATAACAGATCATTGGTTACAAATTATATGAGTAATAAATATTGACATAAACATGTATAATTACCGCCTGTTAGTATAAACTGTTCATAATACCGATACATTTATAAGTGTAATGCCATTCGTGCAAAGTGGAATATTGTACATAGTTATCATATATTTTTGATACTAGAATGCATGTAAATCTCTATAAACAGAGAAAAGCATGGCCATTGTTTACTACTGGATATTGTATCAATTATCACAATAATATGGGAGAAGGTGGGCTGCAGTAGATAAACCAAAATATTAAAGGTGAATGTGTTGCCTCTTTTGCTATCAAGTATTACAGGTCTGTAGAGAAAGTATGAGACCGGCCGTAACGAGGAGTTAGCTCATATAAGTGACATGATACGATGTAAGATGGTGACTTGAATATCGGCTACTATTGTCAGAAAATAAAATTTTCATTAAAGTTTAAGTTTTTTATTAAGTTCTTCACAGATTTGGTTAAGTTGAGTCTGTACATGAGGGAAAATCAATAAGTGCAGCGTCCCTCACGCCCCAAAGCACCTGTTTGAGCGGTACACAATTTTTAACTCTTTAAAGTGCCTGAATCATTGATCCCGAAAGACAAAAAATTTAAAATATTTAACAGCACTGAAGTGAAGTACGGGACATTTTTTACAGCTACAATACGGCACCACGAACTTGACACCTGCTGTCATGAACTATAAAATCTGAAAACACAATGACCCTCAGAATTAATCACAACTTGTTAGACGTGTTAGACTCTTGTATGCAGTAAAAGATTGGACCCTTAGTTTACATGGCACAGACAGCTCTTTTCAATGCTTCGTCCCTGTTAGTGTCACCGCTGTACAATGACCTATATATTAACTCTTTTTTCCCAATATACTGAGGACATTGCACATATTTAAATTATGACTACTAAGGTTTGAAAGTTAAGCATTTTTTATCATTCAATAATTTGTTCCATCTGTGCAGAGAGAGTGGCTTGAAGGCAAATAATTGATTTCTTCAAAGTCCTAGGGCATTTTTCTGTAAAATATGCTGAATCGTACCAAATTTGACCTAGGTTTACTTATTATGAATTTATGTACCAAAGTCTGCTTCAATATGCGCAACATTTGCAAATAAAATGAACGAAAACTGCATATTATTTGAAATGTTTTAAGTCCAAGGGTCATAACTCTGTCAGACGTCGCTCGTCCGAATGCAAAACAAAACTTGATCTAGATATTCATATGTTTAAATCTGTATTCATATACTTGTGTGAAGTTTTAAAGCGATATCACTAATTATTTAGAGTTTAAAAGTTATACTCTTGTCAAAATTTGTATCAAACTATAGAACGAAATACTTGACATACAGTAACGGAGAACGTTTTAACATGGAATGTCTTTATTTTTAGACACATCACTCCTGTACGTGAACAGAATAATATGTTTCGGAACAAAATAGTATGTATTTTTAAATAGTGTTTTAACACTTAAGTATTTTTTCCGCATTGCCCCATTCTCTCTGAAGCGTGTTTTCACTGAATCTTAAATAATGTTTTTCGCAGGAAGAAATGATCAAGTTTGAACAAAATGATATCAATTTACTTATGCCCCTCTCTTTCCCTGGCCAAATTGCTTTTCTACTGTCTGTTTGTGGTCGGTCGGTTTCTCAAAAGTTTATGATCATTTAACTTGCAGATGTTGCGCATTTTTAAAGTGAGGAAGTTTATGGTTAATAAGTGAATACCTTCTATAATTTCCTATTTTGAATTGTTTCTGGTGGTTCCCCTTCCGTTGACGCCCCAGTAAATAATCTTAACATCTTATATCATTTAATACCATTCTTTTACATAAAATGAAATACTTCCTCTCCTGATGTTAGAAGTATTCCATATTTCTTGCTATCCAGTTATTATTTCGAATTTGTTTTTGTTGGATAATATCCCGAGCAATAAGAATGTCAGTTTACAAATATTGTGTTTTTTAAATATTTTGATATTTTTGTTATTTATTTCACATTCAAAAATAAGTTTGAGCTGCTTATATCTGGTCATCGTATTCTAGGAATTTTAGTGACAGTTGGTATTGCTAGCTATCTCCGTTTGGTTAAAACAGCTTGAACGGGATCAGTTAAATCGAGCTATGTTATATTTTTGATCCATGAAGTTCGACATTTGCACTTTTAATTGTTTCTTTTGAGTGTTGTATTGTAGAGTTATGTACTCATAATAATGGTTCTTTCTCGAATAATATTAAATCAACCTTAGAATATGTTAAATGCTTTTTAAATTTGTCTTTTCTACATCTCCTCTCCTTTCAAAATTCCATTTTTTGGTCCCTTTATTTTCTAGTTTAGGACACACGCACTCTTTTCCCTGGATACCATACGCCGCTTTTTCTTAAATGGCACAAAAATGTCTTATAGAAGGTTCCATGATAACCGCCGTATGAACACATCTATGTATATTTTCAATTTAATGTTTCGCTTTTTTCATGTTATTATGTTGAATTCTGCTTGAGCTAGGCCGTGAACTTAAATTTGCATTTTACAATTCCATCTATGAACAGGCTATTACATTTTTGGCAGTTTTGATATTTCTTGAGAGATTCGTATTTCTCTATTGTTCGTTATATTCTTTTGTTGAAATGAGCTTTTAAGTAGAACAAAATGGGCATTTTGGATTTTATTCAAACATAGG